TGCCTTTTCACTTCTTTCAGATTTTTATTTCTGAGATGAAATCAAAATTAATCCTCAGTACAGGCAGATAGATAAAATAGCTACTGTATATTTTTGAGTCACTCGGTTACTGGCTTTGAGTCACTCTGTGTGGATTGTGCCATCTTTCTGGCTCTGAAATACAGTGTTTGCACAGCTTTGTAGAACCTAGCTGGGGATTTTTAGAGCTGATTTTCTGCTCTGATTATGCAAAGAGATAACAGGCGCTCTGCTCCATTTCAGGTCAATGCTGAGCATTTGAGATTGCTGGAGACACGACCATCACCATGGTTTGATCAGAGACTCATGCACATATATGTAGGCTTGGCACAGCATCCCTGTCCACACCACAAGGAAGCCTTAACTGTGAATATGTGCATTTTCAGAGCGCCCATGTGACCTGACCTGTAACAGACAAGGTTTGTCCCTTGCATTTCAGGACACCTGCTGCAGTGTTATAAAGATAAATATGCTGAGGGAATCAATAAACAGTCACAAAATTCAAGAGAGCCAAGGAGGCTTCATGGCTGTTTGCTCATCAAAATGAGAGATTAACAGTAAATTTATTAAAAAAAGGAAAAAGGAAAAAATCACATATTTTGTTATTAAAAGCTGATTCAACTGTAAATGCATAGACCAAACAGAGATGAGGCTACATGCATATTAGTGGATACCAGCCCTGATCTGGTTGAAGCTGTATCAGTATCAGAAAGGAGCAGGCAAAAATTGCTGAAAATAAAAGTGAAATGTGAGGAGGTAACTAGTAATTTGTTACTGACTCTGGTGGATTTCTGTGCAAAGTACCAGCTGCGTGTCTGTCCCTGGAGCACCTGGGGACAGACAGTGCACCCCAGTGCACCCTGAACAGGGGTGCAGGGCACATGGGCAAAACTCTGCTGGTGCACGTCCTACCTGCAGCCTGACAGACACATTTGTCAGTGCAGTGCTGCTTGAGCCTGGGCTCCACTCAAGCAGCCATTTGTTAGTCCTGCTTTGTAACCGTGGCTGGTCCTCCAAGAGGGAACTGCTTCCTCTTGCTGGTCTTGGTCTCTGTTCACAGAAATGTGACTCTGGACAGTCTTGGTACCAGAGCAAGACAGTACCAAAAAAACACTGAAGCCATCACCAGTCTACTGGCGGTGGAAGGAGCCCACTGGGAAGATACAAAAATCAATTGCTCAAGCTACACAAGAAAGAGGGAGGCAAAGAGGTATGCAACAAGACTGTGGGGGAGAGCTGCTGAGACAGAGGAGCAAACTGAAGCTCATCAGGGCTAGTAGGGTACAGAAAACCTGACAATTAAGACAGCCAGCTGCCTTGCTGGCAAAAATGCATCCTGCAGGGTATGGCCACCTCTTTCACAATGGTTGGCCTGGCCGTATTTGTAGAATATGAAGTGCTGAGCTGTGTGCTCATGCTTCAGCCCTGGGAGGTTCTGTGCACTACAAGGTGGTGGGGGGCTGTAGACTCCATGTGAAAGCATCCAGAAAAGGACTGGAGTTAAGGAGAAAGGCATAGCAGAAGAAACCCCCTGACCCTGTTGTACACCACTGTCCTCCCCGAGTCCCTGGCCAGGTTCTCAGCCTCATGTAACTACTTCTACCTATGTCTCCAGAGCCACAATTTTTTCCCCTCTTGGCAGCAGGCTTCCACCATGCCCTCCCCTGAACCCCACTGCTCTCTGCAGTATTATGGGTAGAGCTCCGGTTGCATCAGCTTCGGGGTTGTTGCTACGCAGAACATGCAGCATTGTCCTTGAGGCCTCCCAATGCCACATTTAACCCTGGCAGGGCTGCAGCATGGCAAGACTTGGCCAGCTGGGGGTAGCAAGACAGTAACCCACAGGTGCTTGGAGAGGGCCTGCGTGAACTTCCGAGGGTTGCTTATGTCAGGCCTCAGTAAAAAAGAAGAGATAAAATGGCCTGGAACCATGCAGCTCTCAGCATGGCTGAGGGAGTCTGAGCAGCTTCAGTAGAAGACGTTTCTCTGTAAAGTGTTTTTGAAAGGCACTATTCCTTATTGAAAGCGCCTGAGGGGTGGTAGCTGCTGTGGGAGGCCTGCCAGTCAGTCTGGGGCTGGGGACCCTGGCCAGACAGCTGGCTGCACCCCATCACCTCCCAACCTGCTGGCCGCCCTGAGTCCCCGGCCCCCATTGTGGCCTCAGCAATGCCCATTGCAGCACTGTGGCCAAAGGCAGGTCATGACTCGTCAGCAGCGTCACCCCAGTCCCAACGCTGAGGGAAGGGGCCACTGCTTGGACCTGAGGAGGTGCAGCCTTACGGCTGGTGGTGCAGTGAACATGGGCTGAGCGCAAGTGGTCCCTTCCTCCTCCCACACAGGAGCGGGTATGAACTGGCAAAAAAAATCAATGACCACTGGGCTCTGCAATGAAGGCGTCAGCAGTCTGTTTACAAGAAGATTAGCAGGATCCCTGTTGTCCCTGAGCAACTCTTCAGTCTCTGGCCATTTGCTGCCAAGGCAGTAAGGGAAGACTTGGAGCAGCTCTTGGAAGACAGGGAGGGTGCAGACGCCTCTCTTATTTATCCCAGGCCTTCAGGAGTCAAGGGACGGGAAGGCGTAGATTTCACATCACTTAGCAAAAAAAGGGCCTTCTGGAAATGGTATTATTCGTGCTTCGCAGTATGGTCAGAGAGGGAAAAATTGCATCATTTCTCTTAGCTGCCAAAATAAGGAGTTTGCTTGGACCTTGCAGCAACCAAAAAAAAAACCAAACCAAAAATCAACCAACATAAACCACCAAAAACCACACACAAAAAACCCCCCACCAAAAAGGGCAACTTCAACATCCTTTAACCCTTCAGGTCCTGGTGCCCCCAAGATACTGACTAGGGAAGTGCCTGCTTCTCTTCAGCCTACGAAGGAAGATTGTAATGATTGTAATGATGCCACAAACTGTCCTTTCTCAGCTGGTGCATTGGGAGCCCAGAGCCTTTGAGGTCAGGACAGACTGATGCTTTCTGCAGGCTTTAGGGTCCATCAGTCTACTCTTGGTGCATTGTAAGGTGCTAGGGCTGGAATACCTGAACTCTGTGCAGATTTGCCCCTCGCTGTCTTTGAAGATTGAGGGAAGTGGTGTAAAAGGGTGGCAGCCCAGGGCCTCCAGGATGCGGAGCTATGTGCTCTGTAGGCTGCCCCCAGAAAGAGTTAATGTGCAGGCATGCTCCAGGTGTTTGAAATGAACACAGTTGCAATGGGGAGGAGAGGGCGGTTTTGGGTGGGGAAAGCAGCCCTTTCTGTGAACCAATGGCTAAACGATTCAGTCCTGACGCCCAGTTTTGGAGCTTATTTCATGGGCAAAAATTTGCAGGAATTTCTTCTCAAGGGGATTTGTCCTGGATGAAAAGTAGGTACTGGACCCCCAAGCTTGTTGGTGTCTCTCTCTCTGTGCTGTAGAAGGTAAAGTGCTGTGGTACCTTGCTTCTTTCAGGGGGAGAAGTGGGAAGATATTTCCTGGCTGCCTATATTGAAGGCATCCATTTGTGTCTGCAGCTCCCCTTTGCATGAGAACCATGTTGCAGGGTGGTGTGAAGGTGCTGCTGGGATAGACTGCACTGTGCATTTTGGGACTCAGCCCTGCTGTTGAGCTGATATATATGGCTCATTTCTCTGCTCAGTTTTTATGCAGCCCTGCTGCATATTTCTATATTAGATCAGCCTGAGTTACTATAAACAGGCTAATGAGGCACTGCTGGCAGAGTAACTGCAGCAGCATGGGGCACCTCTAGGTGCAAACCTCACTGAAGCAGTGAGAAATTTGTTCAGATGGCAAATCCTGCCTGAACCAGGCAATGCTACAACCCTTCCACCTCAGCCTCCACACCAAGGAATGGGTAGCTGTGTTGTGACTATCTGTGAGTATGGGGGGCTAAGTAACTACCTTAAGGAAAGGGCCACCGTTCATTGAATTGCCTTTCACTGGAGCAGAGAAACAGGGCAGTACAGAGGGCATAAGCAGTTTATGGCAGGATTATAGTGTGTCAGCATCAGCAAGAATGGGTTTGGTGGCTAAGGCAGTCTCTACCTGCCTTGTGCCCTATCCCTAACCTTCCGCAGGTGGAAAGCCCTGAGTCACCAGCAGTTTGTAAGTAAGGCTTTTGCTGGCTGCATCTGGCTTGCGCTCTGGGTATACATGCTGGGGTGTGTAAGTCACTTTTGTACGTTTTGGGGCCTAAAAGGCAGCTGTTCCTCTGCTTGTGCCTTGCTTGTTGTCCAGCCTTGGGCAAGACTACAGGCCCTTTGCTTGAGGCAGTGCGACGTCCCTGATTTGCCTTTTGCCTGTACCAGTCTTGCTCTGTTTTTGAAGCACTGCCTTTTGATCTGCAGTCTCTGGGCTTGTCTGTTGCTCTGCCAACAGGGGCAAGTGTCTGTAATCTATACCCTGCCGCTGCCTGGTGCATCCTGATAACATTGGACTAGAACTACCTTTTTGGCACTTGAGGTTTGATTTAAACAGTGCTACATTTCTGTCTGTGGATTGGAGGGACATTCTGCATGTGAACAGAAATAGTGGGCTGATCCTTGTGGTTGCAGCTTGAGGTGTGCAAGGTAATAGCTGGAGGGGGGGGGTAACCTGGCCCTTCTGTTAGTGGAACATTGAATCTGCAGTCAAGCAGTGGCTACAGCATGCTGTTAACTCTTGGCTGCTGGCTTTAGTGGGGCCTGTTCCTTCTCAGCAAAGCACGTCCATGCTAGGCAGTGGAGCAGGTAGCACAGAGAGGTGCCTTTATCTTTCCCACTGCATTGTGCTCTCGCTTATGTGTGGGGTTTCACTCCATCCCAGCCCCTAATACAGCCTACTTGATGTTGCTGACTCAGTTGTCCATAGGCAGTAGGTAGGGTCTACAGCTTTCAGAAGGTTTACTTTAGGAGAGTCATGGTCTGTGTTCCCAAATAGGCAGATCCCTTGTTTGGCATGTGTTAACTAAGCCCAGAAAATCCACTTCACACTGGCAGATCTCGGGATGGATTCGTACCTGATCCAAGTGAATGGCCATGGTGATCATGCCCCCGTGCTGGATGTTCATCTCAAGACCAACGGGAACAGCATATCGCTGGGGAAGGTGAAGGGCCGGAAGCCAAGATGGGCTGTCAGGGCTTCTGAAATGTCAAAGAAGACTTTCAATCCTGTCCGAGCCATCGTAGACAGCATGAAGGTGGAGCCCAACCCAAAGAAAGCCATGATCTCCTTGTCCTTAGGTGAGCATAGTGCAGGGGCTGAAGCCTCTGGGCAGTGGGGTTGACTGTGTGGCTGTCAGATTGCAGGGTTCTGAAGCATAAAGCTTGTGCAAACACCCAGGCACAGGCCAGACAACCACATAGCTCTGTGCCTGTCACAGATCAGTGAGAACTTTACTATTTTTCAATCCTCAAAAAGGAGACCCGACGGTCTTTGGAAACCTTCCCACAAATGATGAGGTCACACGGGCTGTGAAGGAGGTTTTGGACTCAGGATGCTACAACGGTTATGCTCCATCTGTTGGTAAGTTGACAGAGCTCTTCCTGTGAGATCAGGATCCAGGCACGTGCCAGCTTCTAGCCCAAAACAAGTATATGGAGCCCACGGACGTCTTTCCAGTAGCACCCTGCAACTGCCCTCATGAACAGTCCCATGAGCACACAAACATATGTATCCATCAGATACATCTGAGTGCCCTTCCCTGCATGATCTGTTTGAGGCCCAGAGCCTCCTCCTATAACTGTGTTTGCTCCCATTAGAGCGGGCAGAGTTTCAGGCTCCCAGAAGTGCTCAGGACTGTGTCTCCCTGCTGTAGGTTGCAGGCAAGTTCCTTTCTGATCTGCCATGATTAGGAGTCCCCTTGGGCTCCCTGACTTCACAGACAACATGAGCCTTGTTTGCAGTTAGTATAAAAAAGCATGCACAGAGCATAGAATGTGACTGCCTCACAGAACACTCCATGGGGTGACAGGGAGGACTGTCCCTTGTGCCATCCCTAAACAGTGAAGGCCATGTAATAGCCCTTGGCCTCCTGCTGGGTCAGAGCAGCTGCCTCCACCCTGCTCCTGTCAGTTCTGTGTTCAGGACATGCTGGGGCTGGAGCCTGCATCCCTGCCCAGGATCCATCCCCTGCTTTTGGCCTGCCTGGACCAGTCTTGGGGCTGCACAGTGCTTGGCCTGAGGCAGGACAATCTCTGCCACCTTGGGACAGTGTCACTAACAAATGGACTTCCCCCAGCTGGGTGGTGGCTCTGAGCCTTGCACTGGCAAGAAAAAGGAAATGGTCTGTAAAAAACTGCCTTCCGTGTTTGGCTCCTTTTTTCCCCAGGCTACCACTCCTGCCGGGAAGCAGTGGCCGCATACTACAGCTGCCCAGAGGCACCGCTGGAGGCCCAGGTACTGGTGCCCAGCTGAGTCACTCCCACTGTAGTGCAGGCAGGATGCTGCTGCCCATGCCTAGATGCTTGGCATGGGGGCCCTGCCCCAGCTCCCTCCCTCCCCTGCCCGGCTGTGGGACTGAAAACTAGCCCATGGCCTTGTCCCACAGCGTCCTCCTGCTGCCCTCATCCTCTGCCCTGAGCCCTTCTCTTCCACCCTCCTCAGGAGGAGGCTGAACTGTCCAGCTGTTGGAGGTTTTCTGCTTTCAGTCAGGCTCTGTACTTTTTGGCTGAGAAGCTCTCACCTGGCAGAGCCTGGGCATTGTGTCACTCCCACGTGGCTGGGGTGCTTCAGAGTGGCTGTGCTTTTTGCTGACTCCTGTGTGCTCTTTTAGGATGTTATCTTAACGAGTGGCTGCAGCCAGGCTATAGAGCTTGCCTTGGCAGTGCTGGCCAACCCAGGCCAGAACATCTTGGTGCCACGGCCCGGCTTCTCCCTCTACAAGACTCTGGCGTTGTCTATGGGGATTGAGGTCAAACTCTACGACCTCTTGGTAAGTGGTGGCAGGCCTGGAAGGGGCAGCTGTGATATTTCTGCCTCTTAGAAATACAAATACCCTGGCCCTGCTTGGGAGGTGGGTGAAGGTGATCTGGGCACCTGGTCACACCTCACCCTGTGTGTCAAGTCCAGTTCCTCAGCTGTTACTTCTTTCCACGTCACTAGCCAGAGAAGGCCTGGGAAATTGATTTGAAGCACTTGGAGTCTCTGGTGGATGAGAAGACAGCTTGCCTCATTGTGAACAACCCGTCAAACCCCTGTGGCTCTGTGTTCAGCAAGAGCCACCTCCAGAAGATCCTGGCAGGTGAGCCTGTCTGTGTGTACCTGGGGCATGGTTGCAGTCTAGTGTCTGCCAACATTGCCCTTGTCTCAATCACTGCAGCACCATGGCCCAGGGCTTTGCTTCTCTCCTCATGACTGACTCCAGCTCAGGAAGCAGGGCTTACTCAGGGTGAAGGTGTTGCCTTATCTGGGCAAGAACATGCTGACTGTGTGTCTTGCTCTTCCTCAAACGCTCTGTGTGGCTTGGACTCCTCATTTCTCTGCTCTGGCTCCACACAGGGAGAGTGTTCACAGGGACCCCTATGCTCCCTGAGCCCTGGCCTGGCCTGGCAGTGGGAGGGCTGTGCTGCCTGCCCTCACAGGTGAGAGCAGAACTAGGCTCAGCCAGGGCAAGGGTCTCCAATGCTTGGGCTCTCCGAATTAACAGTCTGTCAGAGAAAGATAGGGAGCCTCTGCCCTGGGTCAGAGCTTCCCTCAGAGCTCTGTCAGGCCCTATAGCAAAGGGCAGGTCTGCTGCCATGGAGGATGCAGGGTGGCCAGGCTGAACGCCTTCTCTCCCACAGTGGCATCGAGACAGTGCGTGCCCATCCTTGCTGATGAGATCTATGGAGACATGGTGAGTGTCAGTTGCAGTCCTTTGCACCCACATGCTGCCTGTCCTTTCTGATGCACTTGCCCTTTGGCCATGGCAGCCAGTTGAGCAACAGCTTCACTGCCCTATACTGTGCTTGGGTCCATGCCTGGAGCTCCCAGTCCTCTGGTGTGCAGTCCTCTCATATGCAGCTCCCTTCCTCTTCCCAAATGGCTCATTTTCATGTAAGTGCGCTTACTGTGTTCATACCTTCAAGCTGGGAGCTTTCACTATCAATTTCCCATCACTTTCCTGCCTGCCTTCTTGTGCCTCGTGCACCCTCCCACAGCTCTCACAATAAGAGGCAGGGATGGCCCTAAAACAGCCTCCTCTCACAGGTGTTTGCCGACTGCAAATATGAACCCATTGCAACTCTCAGCACCAATGTGCCGATCTTGTCCTGTGGTGGCTTGGCAAAGCGGTGGCTAGTCCCTGGCTGGCGGATGGGCTGGATCCTCATTCATGACAGGAGAGACATCTTTGGTAACGAGGTGAGAATTGCTGAGTGTCACTGTCACAGCAACAGACCTGCAGTATCTTCAGTGTGTGGATCACCAGTACATGCCAACTGATATAGGCATGTACTTCTCTTTTGCTCTCACATCGGTGTCACCAATTGCTTGCATGCTTTTCTGCACCTCTAGGCCTTACTCCATCTGCTCCCATACATAGCCTTCTACCCACATCCACACTGTAATGCACTCCTTGTCTCTGCTGCTCCTTCATATATGCCTTGTCCTTTTTGTGTGCTTCTAATTCCTTCTGTTCTCAAATAGCTCCAGTGTGCACTGAAGGTATTGCATGGCTTGTCCAGCATGTGGAGTCCATGTGTGGCCTCTATGTGCTCTTCTTATATGGTTTCTCTTAAAAGTAAGTACAAAGCACCCTGCAGTGCTGCCAGTGCTTTATCTGTCTACTTGTTCAGCTGTGTTATAAGAACAACCATCTACTGCAGTGACCTTTCCTCCTAGAGGGCTTTCTGCAGAGGAAGAGGGAGAAGAGAGGATCAACTGAGTGAGCAGAAGAGCTAATGTTGGTTGTCCCTACCTGGCTTTGAAAGTGTGGATTGTGGGCCCAGACCTAAGGGAAATGCAAAGTGGTATTTGGAACAGATTTATTTACTGGCTGTATTCCAGCCTGGTTTGAGCCAGATTGGGAAGCTCCAAAGGTTGTCTCTGTTGGCATTACAGTCTGCAATTAAGTTAACAGAGAATGACACTGTAAATAGTCTGCAAATATGTGGCATATAGTCAAACAAATGGCTTTTTAGTACTCTGTATGCTTGCTTAAGAGAAGGGTGTGATCAGCTGTAGAAATACAGAGTAGGCCTTGGAGCTGTTCCTTTCCTTCAGGGAAGCTGAAGTCTGACCTGCAAATATCACCGTGTATTTTCAGATCAGGGATGGCCTTCTAAGACTGAGTCAAAGGATCCTAGGACCCTGTACAATTGTCCAAGGAGCACTAGAACGTATCTTGCACCGAACACCCCCTGAGTTCTACCACAACACCCTCAGCATCCTCAAGGTAAACAGGCTGTAATGGGTCAGCGCAGCTTGTTCGTGGATTGTTTGGAGGAAGTTGTATCTCTCAAATCCAGTTCCAGCAGGAGACATGGCAACTGGGGCCAAAATAGTGGGTGTGATAAATTTCAAGCAGCCCAGCCCTGCAGCTGGAGCTGGTGACCCAGGGGATGGGATGTTTGATACTGACTTGCTGAGCTCAGCTCAGTCACACCTGCTGTACTCAAGGCCACGATCACCCATGCTGTTTGCATTTCTTGTCCCTTTATTTGCAGTGGGCAAACCTGTTTATAGTTCTGGTCCAGAGCTTGGCTTCCATTTGCTGAGCTGCTTCCTGGAATTTCTCCTGTTTTTGAAATTTCTCCTTTCTGCTTTTCAGTCCAATGCTGACCTTTGTTATGCTGCCTTATCAGCTATTCCTGGCCTTCGGCCTGTCCGGCCTGCTGGAGCCATGTACCTCATGGTAAGTGAGGAGAGTGACATGCCATTTCCAGATCATCAATGCTCACACTAGGTCTCATTGCCAGTGCTTGTCAATGGTTTCAGATTGGTGCTTGACATCAGGCCTACATTACCATATATTTTCACATAACCCTCTGTGGTAGACACATCCTTTGGTCACTTTAGAAGGCCAGTATATGTTGTTCACCTCTCACATAGCAGAGGCTGGTACATTTCACCCACTTGCTCCTGCGTAGAACTCAATGACTTGTACTTTGCAAGATAATGTTGTTTTACCTGGATTTGTAGCCTGCTGGCAATGGGAAGCCCCTGTACCACAAGTCAGATCATCATTCCTCCTGTTGAAGATCTAACCTTCGTCCTACTAGCATGTCTGTCTTCTGCCTATGCTGTTGCCTGTTCTTATGCCTTTTCCCATACCTGTTTTTTGAGTTGTTGGGGTTTTTTTAACTTTTTATGTTGTGGTGAAATTTCCTTTTTCATCTCAACAAGCTCAATTGAGACATTTAAGTCTCTTAAGCTTAACACATTTTATTATTTTTTTTTCTTGTCTCATATTGTCTCCAGTTTTTCATCAGCTTCTAAAAATGTGGACCCAGAACTGGAGCATTCTGCAATATCAGTCTCACTCATGTTCTATAGAGAAGTCTTTTGTAGCTGAGCCTGTTTCTAAACTTACCCAGAGCTACACACGTCATTCTGCTCATGTTCTTTGTGTAGAGGCACAGCTCTCAGATTCTTTCACACCTATTGTATTTCTGCAGTTTCTGAACATTTATTTCAAATTAAATAATCTGGTAAAATTTTTCTTCCACTGGCTCTTTCAGAACTTCTGTATGCAAATTATCTCTCATCTGGTTTATTTAAGAATATTTTCATGAAGTGTTTAAAACAATCTTTGTTTATAAACAAATGGCCGGGATATCACTGTTCTTATGTGATAAAGGGACAGCCTCCTTTCCAAACACAGAACAGAAATATTTATTGAACATTTCAGCATTTCTGTGTCATTTTACCAATTATATCATCTTGCAAAGATTTTTTTTTTCTGTGATATTCTAGACTTTGCTATTTTTTTTTAAACTAAAATATGAGTTTGTCTTTTTCTTACCATGGAGATTTCTTGCCTGACAGAATTATTAATGCATATTGACCAGAGTTCTTTCCCAAGCTCTTTTTCAATATCTTATTTATTCCTTTTCACTTCTGATTGGTTACTGTATCTTTGCCATATTTTTTTTTTTTTACTAAAGTTGTCCTTAACTGGAATTCCAGCTTTAGGTAGTTAATTAATACTTCCTAAAGAAGCCCTTATGTTTCTGTTTGTGTCCTACATTCCAGTCTGCCCAAATCATGGGCAGACAGCTGTACTTGACTGGGAAGTTGTTGGGCCATATGGGTAAGCAGGGACACTGCAGATGGCTTTGGTGCCTTTGATTGCCTTGTTACCTCTCTCTGCTGCAGGTTGAGATTGAGATGGAGCATTTCCCAGAGTTTGAAAATGATGTGGAGTTCACTGAGCGACTCATCTCAGAGCAGTCTGTGTTCTGCTTGCCAGCCACGGTGAGCCTAACACTGAGAGACCCAAGGAGCTGTGGGGCCAAAGCATGGGGGGAGAAGCAACAGGGGTTTGCAGCTCTGAGCTCTGGGGACAGGTTGGGAGTTTTGTGTGCAGTGTCCATGGTCTGTAATGGTGTGTGTGCGCTGGCTGTGAGTTCCAAGTGCAGTGTGTAGGGATGGCGACTGGCAGTCTCTGGCTCACTAACAGCCCTCAGTCGGGCTGCCAGGATCTTGGAGGCCTGGGACTGCTACCACCTATGTTCCTTCCTTTGCCCTGTCTCCAGCCCCTGTAGGCACAGGAACAGACTCACAGGCTGAGAACATCTGTGCTCGCCTCCTTCCAGCACTGAGTATGGATGGGGCCTTGGATACCCTCTAGCCCTCTCCCTCCCTTCCAGCCCATTCGCTGGGTCCTGTGTAGTCCATACAGAGTCCTTTGGTCTGTCACTGTCACAGCACCATGTCTACACAGATGGAGATGGGAGATTTGCTTGGCATTGAAAAAACAGTGTAAGGGAGTGAGAGCCCAGCCCTGTTGGCCACCAGTCTGTCCTACACTGACCATTTTCACTTGCTGACACAGCATGTGGCTCCAAGGCAGGGCTTTGAAACTACGACAATACCCCAGGTAAACTACCAGCTTCTTCCTTTCTCATTTCAGTGTTTTGAGTACCCAAACTTCTTCCGTGTGGTGATCACTGTGCCTGAGGAGATGATCTTGGAGGCCTGCAGTCGCATTCAGGAGTTCTGTGAGATGCACTACCAGAGTGCTGAGGGGGCCCAGGATCTGGAGTGTGACAAGTAGCCACAGCTGGCCTCCTGCCTCTGCCAGGCTAGACCTTGTCTGAGGCAGCAGCCAGGGCTGCTTCCAGCCAGCCCCACATCCCCTTGCCTGCAAGCAGCTGCTCTCCTGCTGCTTCAATTCCTGTGCTCCACAGACCCCCTCAGCACTGTGAGAAGCAGCAGCCACTTCTCTCTCCTCCACTGCAGCTTGTACACCCTCTGGCATCCAGTGCCCAGGGTTGCCATATACACTGCATTTGCACCCTGTGTTGGTCTGTGTTGCCTGCAGACCAGCTACAGGCAGGGGCACCTGGCTGCTCCTGTGCCAAGCCCCATGGCCCAGGCCTGACATGGCCAGTAGCTCCTGTGCTGGCTGCACTTCCCCTTGAGGACAGGAGAAGGCTGCTGTTTCGGAGGACAAGAGAAAAGTACCCACCTCTCAATTACCTACCTTAGGATGCCAGAGCTCTTTATACCGAACCCTTTGCGTGACAAAGGGAGTAAGTTATTGTGACTTTTTTAATAAACATTCTGACATGCCAGTCTGCACTGTGCTTCTGTTGCACCAGGTCTGACTTGGCCGCTGTGTGGGTCACGCTTGCTTCACCCCTGGTGTTGCTTCTGCCCTGCAGCTGGCTGGCCAGGGCCTGCCCTGTCACCATGGGTGTGGTGAGAGCGCCTCAGGCCCTTGAAGGCACTCACCAGGCCTTGAGGGCAAGATGGGCCCTGCAGGCCTGGCACAGGCTGGAGCCAGCCACACCTGCCCTTCTGATGCTGGAGGCTCACGGTGGTGGCTTGGCCCCAGCTCCCCCCTGGACAGAGTGGTGAGGGCTGGTGCCCACTGCTGGGGGGAGGTGCTGCCCCCTGGAGTTGAGTGTGAAGAAGGAGGGGCTGGGGAAGCAGGGCATTTCCTGCTGCACTGGTGAAAAAGGGGGTGGCACCCCATCAAATGTGCATTCTGTATGAGGTGTTCATGATGCACCAGCAGTGACAGGGTTAGTGACTGCTGAATATGTCAGCTCCATAAAGTCATGAGGAACTGGTGGCCTGCCATCTGTGGAAACAGGAGACATGCCTGTGCAGTCAAGAAGAGATAATGCCCATCAGACCACCTGTTCCAGTGAGCTGCTCGGGGAGCTGTTATTGAAAATGACAGAGAGGCAACTTGCAGAATGTCTCATGTTGTCACCTACAGCTCTGTTTACCTGTCCTCCTGCAGAATCAGGATCCACAGGTCAATCCTGCCTCCCAAATGATGAGGAAAGTAAGCTAGCACTAGATTACACACTGCCAGACCTCCTGCCATGTTCTGTAGACATCTCATTGTCTCCCCTGCCCAGGACAAAGTCTGGGTACCAGTACTCCATTACAGGGGAGGTATCTATATGAGAAAGATAGCAGTGTATGAAAAGATCATCAACACATCAGTTGAGTGTCCCTGCTACATCTTTCCCTCTCAAATAAAGCAATCCCAGAACAAAAAGAGAGAAGCTGGAGCTATCGGTGAATGGTAGATGCCTTCAGAGATTTCATGCCATTAGACCTCCAAATAGAGCCAAATAACCTGAGCTACTTAAGACAAAATGTTTCCAAATATTAAGTAGGGTAGTGCGTGAGGGGCCAGGCGACCTTTACAGCATGACATTGCTGTGTTGTTATGCTGTCTTGTGTCTACTACAGCTGTCCAGTTTAATCTGTTTCCTTGAGCTCTTCTCTATGTATCTGGGGTTCTGTGGCTTTAATTCCCATTACTAATGATCAGTTCCTGTTTTTAGAGAAAGCTGCTCCTTTCAGACCACTCTCCCTTCACGGATCCTGTATTGAGTCTGCATAGCAAGGTTTTGGTAGTGAGGGGGGGCTACAGGGGTGGCTTCTGTGAGAAGTTAGAAGCTTCCCCCATGTCCTATAGAGACAGCTCCAAAATGGACCTGCCACTTGCCAAGGCCAAGCCAATTGGTGATGGTGGTAGCGCCTCTGTTGTAACGTAGTTAAGAAGGGAAAAAACCCCAAACCTGCACAGCAGCAATTGCAGCTGGAGAGATAAGTGAGAATATGTGAAACAACCCTGCAGACACCAAGGTCAGTGAAGAAGGAGGGGGAAGAGGTACTGCCCGCACCAGAGTAGCGATTCCCCTGCAGCCTGTGGTGAAGACCATAGTGAGGCAGGCTGTCCCCGTGCAGCCTGTGGAGGATCCCACACCAGAGCAGGTGGATGCCTGAAGGAGGCTGTGACCCTGTGGGAAGTCCACACTGGAGTAGGCTCCTGACAGGACCTGTGGACTCATGGAGAGAAGCCCATGCTGGAGCAGATTTGGTTGCAGGACTTGTGACCCCCATGGGAGACCCACACTAGAGCAGCCCATTCCTGAAGGACTGCACCCTGTGGGAAGGACTCACGTTGGAGAAGTTTGTTGAGGACTGTCTGCCATAGGAGGGACCCCATGCTAAAGCAGAGAAAGAGTGACAAGTCCTCCCCTTGAGGAGGAAGGAGTGTCAGAAACAAGGTGTGATGAACTCACCACAACCTCCATTCCCCGCCCCTCTGTGTCATGGGGGGAAAGGAGGTAGGGAAAATCAGGAGTAAAGTTAAGTTCAGGGATAAAGGAGGAGTGGGAGGAAAGTATTTTTAAGATTTATCTTTGTGGGTCATTACCCTACTCTGGTTTAATGGGTAATAAGTTAATTTTCCCCAACTTGAGTGTGTTTTGCTTGTGATGGTAATTGCTGAGTGATCTCTCTCTGTCCTTATCTTGACCCCTGAGCCTTTCATTATATTTTCTCTCCCCTGTTCCTCTGAGGAGGGGAATGATGCAACAGCTTTGGTGGGTACTTGGCATCCAGCCAGGGTCAACCCACCACAGACACCTTTCCTTTCAGAGTTGCATCAGAGATGCCTGTTAATGTGCCAATGTTCTGAAATTATTAACACCATTCTGTGTCCTTTTAGCCCAGCAACGTTTGGCCAGGGATGCTGCAAGAGCCAGAGACATATAGCTCATAAATCTCAAGATATTTAGATTTCTCAAGGCCACATGCTGTATTGTCATCTTTTGCAAACATAACACTGCCTTTTGACCACACCTAGGTTTTCCCCGCTGCAATAGTAAACTAGCATTAAACCACAATGCGCTAGTATCATTTTTCAGGTGTTATACTCGCAGATGCTTTGCGCCACTAAAACTCGTCAGGTGCTAGGCTTTGTAGGTGTAGCCTAGAGCACCCTGCCAGCCATAAAAACTAGCCTAAGCTGGTATTTGGAGGTGCTTTGTGTCAAAAAAAGCCCCTTTACCACTGAGGCCAAGGAAGAAGCCAAGACGCAGGTCTGGAGCTGCTCTTCCTCAGATGCTTGGACAAGGTCTGCAGTGCTCTGGTAGAACAGCCTCAGTGCCTTTATGGCTGATCCACAGCCATCCTTTCTCCCTGTCTTAGCTGGGGAGCAACAGCTGTACGTCCTGGAGCAAGCTTGCAGTGTGCTTCTGCTCTTTGCACTGTCTGGATCAGCCATGTTTAGGAGGAGGGTGACCTACTGCAGGTGTGAGGACCTAGGCAGTGAGGCAGCCTCGTGCCTAGCGCTTTCCCGGGGAAAGTGAAGAACTTCCCCACTCATGGGCAAATGAGGGTGAAATCTACAAGGCCTCAGCTGCCAGAGGGGCTGGCAGGTGGAGCCAACCCAGCACAGCAAACTGTGGCACTTGGGGCAGGTTGGGCTAAGTCACACCTGCCAGCAGGGAATGAGGCCTTCATCTCCCCCAGGTGCCTCAGGAAGCCGGATGCAGCCCAGCCCCTGGCCTCGCCCACTCTCTCTTCCAGCAGCCCTGGCTGCCCCCAATAGGGCTGCAGCCTGGAACAGTCACCGAGTGTCTTCCTGCCCTGGGGCTGTGGTCCTTGGCCATGAGACCCTTTCTGAACCGGCCTGCTCTCCACCAGCATGTAGCACCTGCAGTGGGAAGATATGGTTTGCCCTGAGCTGGACCCAGGATGGTTGCAGGGAAGCAGTCGGGATGATCAGGAAGGCCCTGGTGAGCTCAGGTGAGGCTTGAGCATTGCAGGGGAGGGGCGGAGGACAGCCCCTGGGTCTTTGTCTGTGCGAAGCTTCTTTGTATGTGAGGGCTGGCACATAACCTCATTTTTCCAGGCTGTGCAGGCCTGTCAGAGGCCAGATGAGCTGGCCTGCTCTGGGGGCATTACCCACGAGGGCTGGAGGAAGGAAATTCTTTGTGCATGGCAGAGAGAGACTTCCACAAGGACCAGAAGTGGCCACGGAGAGACTGTGGATGTAAGAGGAGGAGGAGGCAGCAGTGGGCTGGGACACAGTACCTTCTTGAGGTGATTTGGGGGGATTTTGTAAACCAGACTGTGAGAGGGTAGAGGAGCTCTGGAGGAAAAGGAAGGCTCAGCACTGGCAAAGTCTTACTATCAACAGGACAGCCACAAACAACAAATCCTCAGCAGGGTTCCAGTAGCTGCAAGGCACTTAAAAGCTGACTAGATAAGTTTAAGAGCTGGTCACAAGAAGGTTGGGGTTGTATCTTCTATATTGGCCTTCAGCCTGGGATCCCAGCACTGGGAAAGCCTTCTGAGGGGCAGAAGCCCTGGATCTTCCTTACGGTTTGGCTTTCTGGCATGGGCTCTCTCATGGTGCTGGGAGCCCCGACCTATACCAGGACTTTGCTTTGTCATGTATTGTCTTCCATTAGCTTATTTGACTTGGGTCAGTGTTCCCTGAAGCCTTGCCAGAGCAAACAGGTGCTGGCAATAGGCCTGAATAGCTTATTTCCTGGATGCCTGAAAAAATTACTTGGTGCTAGCATAGAATCTTCTGCACTCTAGTGCATTGCGTGGACTATATGTGTGCTTCAGCTCTGCGTATTGCTATTGTTCCTCTCAGCTCTAGACTAGCTGTTCTACTCCAAGCTTCAGTGCATGTGCTAGTTTCTGGTTTTAGACTGCCTATGTGTGCAAAGAAGGCAGAAGCTGGCCAGTGAAATGAATTCAAAAGCTGAATAAATATATTTTTTTCTT